AGCTACAGTGGCAGCTCGAACAAGTTTGAATAAGCTTGACCAGCTAGAATCAGCTTGATTACCACGTAGACCACGTAGACCAGCTCGGACCAGCTTAAAAACCAGCTTGACCAGCTTGATTTTCTTGCTGGTTTTTTCCAATAGGGTGTTCATGAAGTTGACATTGACCGGCGGTCTGGGAAACGCGTGAAACAGCCGAGTCACGGCGCGGCGGTGGGCGGTAGCTCGCTGTCACGGATGGCTGCCGACGGGAAGTCGAGCGAGGCCGCGTTGGCATAAGCCGACGCTAATTAACGTTTGAAGTTACCCGCTAAACTTGGCTAGGAGTGAACTCTCGGCCTTACTGAGCCACTTGTTCGAGCTGCTGAACTAACAGCACGGCACGCGAAAACGAGAGTGCTGAACCTCCGACAAGAAGGCGCCCTCGAAGGTTCTGGAAAACGATGCCTTTTAAAAATTGGTCGCGGAGAAAGTCCTCGAAGTGCGGCAACGTACTATACTTCGTTTCAGTTTCAACCCGAGCGCGGCCGATGTTATGAGCCGAAGGGCCAATCAAACAGCGAAACAGGCAAACGTTTCGGCGTTCTCTCTGCAGTTGATAAGACCAGCCGATATTCGCTGTGTCTCTGTGCGTGCTCCTCCGCCGGCTAGTCCTATCAAGCACAGAGAGCACGCCATGAAGCTGCGCTTTTTGCGCTGTTTGATTGGCCCTTCGATTCATAACATTGGCCGCGCTCGGAACGAAGCTGAAACGAAGTATAGAGGACAGATTCGGCCTGGTTGCTGGACGCCACGACGTAACCTGTGGCGTTCGACGACGACATTGCTCGCGGAGCGAAGTGCTGTGTTAAAACAGCGACGGCTTTGTCGTACGAGGACAGTGCCGGAGAAGGCTTGCCGCTGTCTTCGGACGTTTTCGCGGAGGCAGCTGGCGGAACTGTTGCGGAGGCGTCCGAAGGAGGCGGCAACGAAAAGAAAATCCGCTGACCTTCAAGTCCGAGGCTGCGCAGAATCATAACCTTTCGACGCCCGGGTGTGAAGTCGGACGCTCTAGAAGCTAGGAGAAAGGTCTCAAATATCCGTAACCATTGCGGCCGCGCAACGGCTGGACGGCCCAGCGCCGGGAGGAACGGGGGCAGCGGAGCGAGCCCTGAAAAACTCATGCCGGGAAGTAACGCCGCATGGGAGACTACTAATTCTCGTCGCCAATGTTGTGTAGCGACCGAGACCGAAGTGACGAGCCCGAAGTAGACGATCAATTGACTGCAGTTGAACAATCCTTTTAATATGCCAAAGCATGTTTATATATACAACACCACTAGCGGCATACACGATACCAGGTTGACAGACTTACTACATAAACCGAAACTACGACACAACAGTCACTTATTGATTTCTTTTGGTACCTTTTTTTTTAAAGTACGTCCGCCTTACATAATTAACCAGTAAACAAAACAGTACAAAACAATTAGGCACGCACAAACGGAACCAGCTATTAAAGCATTTCTGTTGGAACAAGCTACTTTACATTTGGCTAGCCTAACTTTCGTTAATGGAACAAAACATATATGCACCTTTTTTGTTAACATAAAAAAAAACATGAAAGTATCTTCGAAAGTAATTCGCTCCTTTTTACTCTAGTCAGTATTTTACTGAATTGCTTTTTATTTTATTAATTTCTACTCCACTCAACTTACGTTTAAGACCAATAATCAGTAACTTAATTAACTTCGAGTTACTTGTACATATCTGTATTTATAAAAATAGTGTGCAACAATAACATACGCTTGAATAAAGCCTCTTAAAACGATGTCCAAATTTGAGGAAGAAATCGAATTGAGTATTTCACCCATGTCATCTTCTGGCACTTTGGACTTTTTTCCCCTGTGGAACTCTCTTGTTCAAATTTTTTAAAGGGCGGTTTTTTCATCTCGGAGATATAAAGTTATCGCTGGTAATTAAAAACAAACTGCCCCTCCCCCCACTTAAAACAGCGACAAGTTTTGTCAAATCCAAATGAAAGCCCCCAGAATATACGCGGATTCATACGCAACAGAACATATTTGAATTTGCTTTATTTTTGAGAAGTAAACTAACACGTACATCAGCACAACTCTAGTGATTTAGGATAGTGACATGACGAGAACATTTGGTACAACATAAGGTACTCTACTTAGTGTTGATTTGACGGTAATGATGTGACGTGGAAGGTTCAAACTTTATCCGTGGTGCAGGTGAAGTGAACCCAGACTGCGAACGTGACAGGAATCTGTGGGGGAATAATGCCCGGTTACGAAAGTGGTTGCCGGGAAGATTAGAAACTATGTTTAGTTTAAACATGTGAACAGTAGTAGTGGTGAAGACGGCTACAGAAGGCAAAACACCTGCAGCTCACAACGGTAAAATATAACATAAGGTTTTATTTTTGTGTAGGAGCATGTTAATATAAGAGTAAGTATCGACAGAAAACAATAAGCCAAAAAATAGTTAGTGTTTTTTTTATTTCCTTTTGATGCATTGCGGTCTGGTGCAGTCCATCTTTATGTTTTCAACTTAGATACTTTTGATGAAATATTTACCATTACGAATAAACAAAAGTATATCACTGTGAGTGAAACATCAGTTTAGTTGCTGCGTACAATTTCCAGATGTATAATACGCTTTCGGACAGCATAGGAGTTCGGGGTGGGCGCGTCGGAGAATTTCCCTTAATACTTATTTCTTGAGTCGTGAAAATACCGTCCTCCTCTTACTCCCCCCTCCCCCCTCTCCCCCCCCCCCCCCCCCCCCCGGTAAGGATGTCCCGCATTCCGCCGGCAGGAAGATGGTCACCCTATATTTACATAAACGCTTTTGAGAAGTGAAAACAAAATAAGAAGGTCGGAATTTTTTAGTTTTGAAATGTCTGTTAGAAAACAAAGTGTTTCCGCATTGGTATACTGGGTACGGTACAAAGTGAATTTAGATGCTCAACATCCGGTGCGTGCAGTAAATTATTCCTAGATCATAATCAAACAAACGCGGTAATCAGAGAAACATGAAAATGTAAGTTGAGATTAATGTTTGAACCAGCATGCTCAGTTTGGCATGGTGGTTGATCCGGTGATACTGGTCATGATGGTTGATCTTGTTATACCGGTCATGCTGGTCGATCTGGTCCCAGCTTCAAGCTGGTTTATTGCCCCAGCACGCCCAGTATGGCATGCTGGTGAACTTCCCCACCAGTTTAACCGGTTTAAATTAATACACAAGATAAACAAGCCAGACTCTTCAGAAAACCCAACTCGGCACCCAATTTATTATTTTCGTACTTGCGGCCTGCTCACACGAGCTCAGATGCTACACATCATCGGCACTGACATAGTACTAACCGATGCACAGGCAATGGTTCTCGGTGCAAAACAAGTAATGTTATTAAAACCAAATGCCTATCTCTCAACACGAAAAATACTGGACACACGCCAAAAACAGGCGATAGCAATAGAAAATAACTACACGGATGCGAGAAGCGAACCTAGGTCCCGTCTGTGATGGGAGCGAAGCGCCCTTTGCGTGGTCGGCAGAGGCGAGGAAATTCGTGTGGCTTGGATGGCATTCACAATACTCCTGGGCACCATCATTCATTCACGAGCACACACAGGTTCGAATATATGAAGCGACGCCTCAGTCGCGACGTCCGACCTCTTCCCGCGCTCAACGGACTGCCGCTCGTTGTCTCCTCAAAACCCAGTTTGCTCGCACCGCCGTCCAATTAGTCTACGTACAGAGCCCACTGCCGTCCGGTGAAAGCAAAGGAAGTGTTGCGCGGCCCGTGGCTGTGTATGTCACTCATTGTCGTCCCTTCGAAATGGACCTTTTGTAGAAACATCGGTTCGAGAGTAAATGGATCTTATACCCTCTTTCTCTTCATTCTGGCCGAGCAGAGATGGAAGATGGTTGCTTTGTGTCGACTTCGGGGCGGAAGATAACACACAATGGAGACAAAGGTCAGTTTGGGGGCGTCGGATCTATTTCACAGCGCCTCAGAAGGCAAAAAGAATGTAACTGACGTTTTGGGTGTGGAAGGGGTGGGAGGGGCTCTGCGCGCGCCCGAAGTGCCTGGTCACATGCCAAACACGAGAAGACAAAGCAGAGTAAATGGCCTCGTCCCAGCCCAAGCCGACCTCGGCGCGCGCGCTCGCAGCAAGGCCAGTTCGACAAGCTTTAACCAACCCTGGCGTTTGCGCTCCCAGCAATACCAGCTGACCAGCTCGACCAGCTTGCCTCCCGAGTCCCAGCTTTACCACATTGGCTCCATGGAAGACTAGTTTGACCAGTTAGAACCAGACTGGCCCCAGCTATACCAGATTGAAACTAAAACTAGTTTCTAGTTAGACCATGGTGGTTTACACTTAAACCAGACTGACCAGCCAGCTCAAATTCCAGCTTGCCCAGCTTAAACCAGCTTGACTGGTAGTTAAACCAGTTTAATTACCACATTGATCAGTTTGACAAACTTAACTACGAGCTTGACGAGTTAGATTTTCTCGGTGGATTTTTCAGTAAGGCATGATTCGTGAAGACCTCGAGTAAACGCGCAGGGCATTTTGAAGTGATAGAGACGGGAGATGTACTAAAAATACTACGCTAGCTCGACTGGATTTAAATAATCTGAACAACGAAACAGTAGAAAGTATGTATAGAAACACGATGAGCTCGAAGAATTTAAGTAATTTATTCAGACTGAAACATTAAGTAAGACCAAACATAGTATTGTGTAACAACAAAAAAATGGTCATTCTTTATTTGGAAACCTAAGTAATGCATGTTACTGGACTACCCCACCGAGTGTAGCGGTTACTCTTCAATCGAAAATCTACGAAATAAAATAATTTAAAATAGATATGTGATGTTTCAAACCACCGCTCCCGATGTCTTATTAAAATTTGCAATTGAAAACCAAATACCATGCACAGCTTGTGTGTGGACCCAAGCTTTGTGATCATAGTTTTAACGGCAATTCAATTGTACTTTACCCATGCAGCCAGGAGTCCGCAAAAAGCCATCGTTGCCATTCTGAAGCCAAGTATTTCAACAAGGTATCCAGCAAAAGGAGGTGTTATCATACCTCTGTTGGTTGCAAATGACAAAATGTTGCGAAAAGCATTAGCTTTCTGTGAATAATTAAACTAAAATCGAATGTCGCGATTGCACACTCGGGGAAATGGATTAAAATATAATTCCAAAGCTTTTGCACAAGTTTTAAAGTAATGACCATTCTTAGTGTAAAACGAAACTTTGAAACAGTGAAACATTTTAATTTTTAGTTAAAGAGGTTATTAACCAGTTATTTTTTTGTTTGAAAACCTGGAGCAAAAACCAAACTTTGCTTACACTATCTGATTTAAGAAAACGAATGCATTGATGACTTTAAACTCAATTTTCCACCTGAACTTAAAAGGCTCTGATATTTTACCAGACCGCTTGGTCATTAACAATAAAACAAACAAGGAAATTTGTGCTAATTAGTGAAGAACAACATGTTCACTCAGGCTTGTCAAACAGTGAACACATACGTTTCTTACGCGTCAGGTGTTGGACAGAAGAAAAGAAAATGCAGCCAACGCCCAAATTATATTTCGTTATTTTATTCGTTGAGTTCGCCTCTTCATAAAAATAAATATTCCAAAGCAGCATTCAGTTATTTGCCAGCGATGTTACAAAACTATTTTGGTTCAGCTTTAGAATCTAGTAAAAATAGCTTCCAAATATATGTGTGACTTAATTCCGTGACTACATTGGTTTAATAAAATGTAAATTACTTTCTAGAACAATAAGTAACATATGAATTATAAATAATGAAATGAATACTGAATACTCCTGCTAAAATTATGATCGCAGTTTGCAAAAAGGAGACAATGCAGCTAACATTCTTGTTGCGTTCATCCGAAATTCAAAATATTTGGAGCTCACCCAAACACTAGAAACGTGAACACACTGCTGGACACAAAACTTTTGGTCCGGATGGTTTCAGAAAATCCACGAAACCTGGAAATAGCGGTGCGTCGCATACCAACAAAACAACCCAGCAGAAAAAAAGATAAATGTGTGCATTACAATCACAGTTATATGTCAGGGTATGGAAACGATGCCTGAGCACTATGAGAGTTTTATATATAAAAAATAAACAGGCGTACATTAAGCTTCTAGGGGCGTGGATCGAGCAAGTGGCTAACTGCGTGCGCTGCCAGAATTCATATTATATTTGGTTTCATCTTAAGTCCAGACGCAGCTAACGCTGCGAGCCGATGGGACCAATCATACAGCATCAAATGCTCACAATCATGGCGTTCCTAATGTTTCTGTGCATGTTATGTCATCGCTGAACCCATTATAAACACGGCTTCAAATATCCGCTAGCTATGTATGTATCGCAAAAACGCTTCGAAACTGTTTGACGCACTCGAAGCACAGCTTCAGTATGAAACGGCACGAAGATTTCACCTGACCGTTCGCTACTTTGAGAACCTTTCGTGAAGAAGCAGGCAAATGATGTGCAGCCTTACACCCATTGTCACGTATAAAACACTCCGAAACTACAGTTCGGCGTACAGGGTATTCAGGTCGAACTGACGCGTCCCAAACTTTTGCGAGGTGCGATATAACACATTAAACAGCTAAAGTACGTATTGAACTAAAAAAACACTGAGTTGTGCAGTAAGGCCATGAAAACCATGACTGCCTTTAAGGCGAAAGCCTTGCTTGTCCCATACGCGAAAAAGGCGGCGGCGTTGTGCCCGAAATATGGCAACACCAATACGTCATCAAGCGCGCGCCTCAGAAATAAAACACCAAGAAAAGCACAGCAACGCAGATGCTTCGTCACGAAATCCTGCGGGGTCGCTCAAGGTCAAAGCTGACGCGCCTCAGAAATAAAACAGAACGAAAAGCACTGCAACACACATGCTTCGTTACGAAAGCCGTCATGAAGCTGGCGGTGTTCGCCGCGCCTGCGCAGTGGGGGAGCGTGATGTCACCGCCGGAGCGCCGTGTGGAATAGGAAGAGGTTGCGCGCTGCTTGTAGGAATGCGCTGCGTCCTACAAATACAAAATCTTAAATATCTCTGCCAATTTTTTTGTTGCTGTTTGTTATACGCACATTGATTATTTTAATAAGTTGCACAACTCGGCTATCAAGCCGCTCGTTAAAATTGGTACCGTCGGCTTAACGTCGGTGCGCTGTACGCCGAACTGAAAGGTTCGGGGTGTAATATATGCCATTATTGCGAGACGCGTGTTCGTCTGCTTCTTTTCTACTTCTTCTGCAGGGGCTGCGGATAGGTCAGAGCGCCGAGCTCTGACTGAAAGATGTTGTTTAGATCTCGAGGCAGTCTGCTTTGAGGTCTACCCATTGTCGTTCAATCAGGGCCAATCACAGCTTGGTGTTCTGACGTCACCACAACCCCTGCAAAAGAAGCAGACGAACTTGATCTCCGCATAGCGTGTGGTTTGGTATGCTTCTCGTGGCTTCTACACCTTCAGAAGCTTATGAATATTTATTGTGCAGCGATGCAATCGGAAGACATATTGTGAGTCTTTTAATCAGTTAAGGCAAATCAAATGGCAATTCAATTGGTGCTACAATTCTCGCGCGGTCTGTTTGGCAAGGAGGTGTCCTCTAAATTTACCAGGGGGGCTGCGTGGTTAGTGGAGAATAACAGCGGTCACACTTTTCATTTCTCGAACTGTATAAAGCAAGCCCAGAGTTAATCGCGCAAATATATTTGAGCGATTTCTTCTCATCGTGGATTGGGATTTCAGACTGCTTGTAAGATATATCGCAGAAAGATATTACCGAGAGGGGGGAAGGGAGAGGGAGAGAGAAAGAGAAAGAAGGCTTTCGAAAGAAAAAAAAATGTTGATGTGGCAGTCATAGCCAGAGTCCACGTGGTCCTCTTTAAGGGTGGTAGGGGAAACAAGGGTGGGGGAGAGAGGACTGCTCTTAGGAGAAAATCAATCAGAAAATCCACATCTCTGGGACAAAGACGAACCAAAGAATGAAGAGTTTACACATCAAATACACTAAAAGCCAAGGTCACTTATTTCTGCAAGGTACCGTAAAAAAAGCAAACAAGCATACCTAACAACCTTGAGTGCGTGAGAGTAGGAGCATGTGAACATGGCTGCCGAGGACAACCCAGTGAATACTTGTGACAGGTACACCATCCAGAGAGAACTGACACAAGAAAACGGTATTTTATACACCACCACTTTTTGTGCCATCGCACATAATGTTTTACGCCAGATAGATCTATCTGTCGTTTTGTAAATCACAAAGAAATGAATCCTGAGATTTTAAAGGGGAATTTACAAAGAAGGGTGCCACTAAGTGTTGCAAATGTTTTGTGAAAACATCGAAGGAAAATCTTGCGCTAGTAGAGACTTGCTAATAAATGCCTGAGGTTTGAGACCGAGGACTAGTTAAACTTTTTTAATCTCAAAATATAAACAATGGCCGTGGTTCATTAAAACGTCTGATTAAAAAAAAACATGAAAGGGAGGAGAGATAGTGTTGATGAGTTTCATTTGGCTGCCTACTTTTTCCCAAAGGAATAAGCAAATGACCTACAAAAAAGTTTTATTTGCTTTGAAATAAAAAGGAATACTTTAATTGGAGACATGAAAAACTAAGCTTGAGGGCATCCTGCCAACTCCTCAGCCCAGTTGCCCAACTACAAACCACAGGGGGCGAACTTTTCCGCTTGGCAGGGAACTCAAGCTGGCCACGCGCACATCGCTTGCACCACCTTGATAAGGCGGATCAAAGGTGCATGCCCATGTTGCAGGCAGTCGCTGACTGGAATCAAGCGTCGCCGGTGCTCGTTTTTTCGTTAATATTCTTCATCCTCTCGTCCATGTCCAATTAAATATAGTTTTTTGTTGAAACCATTGGCTCCGTGTTATTCCTCCGGGTCGGGTATGCAGCAAGGCAAACCGTCCACAAGGTTTAACCGCTATTATACAAATTGATGTAGGCATCATTTTGCTGGAAATTGTAAATAGGGCTTCGTACCTATGGTAAATAAAAATTAACCTAAGCTTAAATCTGGAACCAGTTTCATTCAATAATTAAAAGGAACGGAAACCCCTGCTTGGAGTTGTCCTTGAGACACAAAATCAATGCTTCAAGGTAAATTTTTTTATCTGCAGCATTAGTTTGTGCTGATGCGGAACGCAGGCAATACTGAATTATCGGTGAGCAGATGTTTTTGGGGGAAAACCGCCCAATGTCTCGTTTCCGTCTCTTATAGCTAGCGGAATCTTTTCCGAGTAAGAGAGTCATGCCCATGTTGCCTGAAGGTTGGTGACCTCCTGCCCTATCCTAATTTCTTCAACGTAAGCACCGATATATACCGATTTTTCCCCAAAGCGAAATTCTCACCAGAAAGGACCGAATTACAGGAGAAGGTTAAACCCCGAAAATAAATCCCCTATTTTGAAGAAAACTAAATGCCGGAAGCAAGGGACCCTAATTAATAATTATAACAGACAACGTCGCGCCTATTTTATAAATAAGAATTCGGCTTGTTACAGTGAGCAGGTGAAATGATAGCTCGTAATGGTTCAATCAACAACTCTAACCAACAAAATAACAACCACCTAGAAATGGGAAAGGTGTTCATATGTATTTACCCCTCGCATCCCATAAACGGAGCGGGTCCCCACAAGATGTAGGCGAGAGCAGCGAGAACGTGCCCGGAGAGAGAACCAAATATTTCAGCCTGAAATGAAAACTCATTAGAGCATTTAGATATACACTCAACGATTACTGAGTGAATAAGTTGCTGCTGACTGCTCTAAGTGACTTGTAGCAAAAGAAACCTTTGCACCAGAAGGCAAAACTTGCGGAAACGTTAAATATTATTTCGTCAATAAAAATTGACGAATCAATCTACTTAGCATAATTGTGGCTCATGGGCATACGTATGTATCATATGCTACGCATATATAGTTTCCCACAGGCAGCTGTAATGGTTCGGCGTTTCTTGCGATGTCCTGAAACCCTTGTAAGTTCTTGAGAATGATGCGTCCATATCTGGGAAACCTTGATAAAAGTTTTGCTTCATTGTCTTATTATATTTTATGACATCAGCACTTCAACCTGAGGTCGAAATGGTGAGGTTATACTTATTGAAATGGGTTCGAGTATATACATCAATATATATGTTTTGTTAATTAAAGACTATTCAAAAGAAGCAAAGTGTTGATACCTACGTTTTAGGTAGTAGTACCCTGGAGCACTCATGTATTTGTATCAATTAGTATGTTAAGTCCGATGAATAGGATTATGATTACGTTCTGAGAAAATGATGTCATTATATTGCCTTGTTTCTTATTACTGATTTTTTTGCTGCGTTTTCAACAAGGAGAGTGTGGAATTCAGCAAAAACGAGGTTGCACTGGTGGCCGAGTGTGTTAGTTCACCGCAGCTCGAAGCAAGCTGCAGAACCCAGGCCTCCTGCGCTCAATCCCCACTTCTGCCCGTTTCGGTCTGGATCAGCCTCATACCGGCGTGAGGTCGAGTATCACTGATCCGTGATGCACGTTAAAGAGCCCATGCTAGTGGTAGAACTGGACTGCCTAAATTTCTAATTTACAGCGTAAACCCTTTTCGCCATATCTTAAAATCATATCGACCTTACGCTTTATAAACATAGACGTCATCTTTTTTTAAAATAAACATAGTATGTAAACTTATGTTTAATAAGGCATTATATACTTTCCAAAGTGTTTTAATAACTTTGACAAGAGCCTTTTAAGTATAAGAAATAAACTTTCTTCTCGAGGCCGTAGGCAAATTTATATGAGCTGTTAGATAACGTTGAAGATGAAAACTGTTTTCCGGGATACGGGAACAAAAATTCAATACCTCGTAATGACAGAAGATACCAGAAAGAAGAGCACCGACAGCGCAACTTGCATACTGGACCGTGAATATGCGTCCTAAATCGGTATTACTCAGCCTGAACTGAAATATTTTGGGAGATAGAGCATTGCATTATTAGTACCAAGAAAAAACGGTAAAGCTCTAATTTAAAAATAAAATAAAACTCCACTCTCAGGCATTTATCCGCCCATATTGCACCGCGACGTACTCGCAACCAGTATCAATGATATTGTGCTATTCAGATGAGCCGGTGAGAAGTGAGATAAGTGTTCATTAATATAGTGGCCACGTGGTCTCTGTGGTAAAGCAAATTCGTCCGCTCCCGCTGCCATTTAAATGGCTTGATAGTGTCGTAAGTTAATCAAAGCAGACATAGCAGTGATTGGGTTTTTGAGTGCATTGTGATACAATATAAGCACAGGGTCCTTCGGAAAGTGCTTAAAAGCAAGTAGCAATTATACGCAGAAATAACATTGGGCAAAATAAGAAAAAAAATGTTAGCACACCTTTTGGCCGAAAACAAATTAGTCTAGTATTTTTGTCCAAATATTTCCCAGACAATTTTAATCTAACCACCACCCGGCCCTCAAGTTTTCTAAAATATTTTTGGTGTTGTTAATCTTCTACTACTTGTTTTAACAAAGCCGGCCATCAGCTTCTTACCACCGTTTTCTTTACCTTAATCTACACTTTATAGACTCCGTGCGACTCTTGCAGCTAGATAATCTTATCGGTAATGCGAAACAAAATCTTACGGTGGAAACTCGTGAGGTTTTTCTTATCTTTTTTAATATACAGAATAATTATAAGGTTAAGTTTTTATTAAAAAAAGTTCCCTAGCGAAATTTTATGGTACCGTTCAGCCGCTAAATTTAGTGAAGGAATAGACCTGGTGCATAAAAAGTGTATTAAAGAATCCCCTTTAAATTAAAATGGGAATCTCAGAATGCTTTTAAACAAAAATTCAGTGGCGCTCAAAACAAGCTGTGATTTCTGACTCCGTCGCAAACACTATAACACTTTTTTTTGCGAAATATTTTAGTTAAAAAGAAACTATAACAAAGCAACTCCCACTCAAAAACTTTGAAAGAAGAAACTACAACAACCTCGAGTGGTTTAAGAATTATACCCGTAATCATTCTTCACAACACAATAGTATCTCATTTTGAGTTTAGGGTGGATACTGCTTGTCGGTCCTTTAACCGTAGAGTTGCTTTAACGTTTTAGGTCCTTGTTTTCTATCTCGTATCTTCTCAGGCTGCATGACTTTAATTTTGCCCGTCTCTCGGTTTGCCAATAGCGACTTTCAATATAAAGGATGCATCATTAGAAATGGTATCTATTTCCTTAGTTTTCGAAATAAGGCTCTCTCAGTAGCCCTGAAAGGAAAGAACAGGCGCTGACCGTCCTTGGAACCTACAGCGTAGGTGTGCCACTTAAATGCTCTTTTTCATTGGGACTTATCTAAAGAAACAATGTTTGTTATTTCTCTTTTCATTCAAAACGAATTCGGGTACACTTGAAACCCAATCAGTGGACCTTTGATAATCAGTTGCACGAATAAGAAAATCGATTGGTATTATGCGCTGACAGGTTGCATGTTCGGTGCAAAATCAGATTAATGAATTTATGCCATACAAACTTCACCGCCATTACACCATTCTAATGATCACTCGCGTCTTATTAAGTGAACTGTAAAGTGAAAGAACGAAGATGTGTGCTCCGAATGAATCGCGCTGAAGTTTAACACAGAACTTTATGATAAAATATCTTCATGTGTTAAATCACACAAAATACTACCCTCAGATTCACGTTAAAGTGAAAAGTTGGCCTGCAAAAAAATTTAAAAATGCAATATACCCAATGCTTTAAAAAAAGGCAGTCTCCCACAAAAAAAAAAAGTTTTTTTGTGCGTAGTGAGGAATGAAAATACCTTTTCTAGGCTTGGCTCTAGGGTGGTGTCATTAAATCCAAGAGCCATCCAGGACATCATAATCGACACCATGTCAACGATAAATACAGGAGTTTTAAAAAGAACCCAGTAGTTGGGGTTTCTTTTTTCCTGAATGGATTTCACCTTTGGAACGTCTGCAATTAGAAAAGGAAGAATATATAATGTAAAGTGTAGAACTAAGATGTAGAATTGGTCTGCCAATCGACCTCGCGCAGGAAAATAAGCACTCGGTCATTGCGTTTTGTTGGACATCCCAGAGAAAAAAGGAGCAAATGACAGCCGTTTTAAAGACCCTGCACCCGCCATAATAGACCTATTGTTAAGTTATGCAAGTATCAACGAAAATGCAGGAATTAATGTTCCACGCGCCGCACGTGCTTGCCTTAGCAGTAGTAATTTTTTTAAAGCAAATGCCTCAAACAATTCTTATATTGCACACGCGTTCGTCAACGTATTATTTTGGTTATTTACTTCGAATACTTTATACGAAGAAGGCGTGCGCGTGTGGCGGGTGGAACACCAATCCCTGCATTCTCCTTGATGGTTGGGTAATTTGGCAATTTGTCTATCATGAAGCACCTGCATCTGATGTTCGGAAATGTAGCACAGTTCCCTCTCTGAGAAGTTCTTGAGAGCATACTGCACCGCGATTGCTTTGCAATACCAAACATTGGACTTCGTCGAACGCCTTATACCCCGCCTTATACCCCGGGAAGCTGCAAAACCAAAAAATATCACTCATACGGCGATATATCTAACGGATTGTCGTATTTTTTGGAAAAGAAGTGCGCAATTAAACTTGGCCAACGAGGCCCAGGAGACAAGGCACGTAACGATTCCCATTCTCTCTCTTCCTCGCTACGTCCCGTCAAGCTGGTGAACCGAAGCGAGGAGCAGAGAAGCGGGGCCGCTTCTCCTCATTCTCAAATTATCCTGGAGGACAGTTACGTCAAAGAACTCGCTTGATCGCGCAATTCTTTTCCAAAAGTACGGCCATCCGTTTGAGATATCAATCTACGAGTGATGTTTTGGAGTTAGTAGCGTCCCGTTCAACACTTCTGCAGCCTTACTTTGCGAAATCCAAATTTCAGTTTAGTGTCCCTTTAAGAGTGAACGGAGTACAGTGTAAGTATACGAAGGAATTTTTTTTTTATTTTTTTAATCGGGATCGAATTTTAAGTTTTGAGGGAGGCGTTAAAAATGACATGATATGTGTTTACTAAAGTTTACTGCTCTATGAACGGAAACTTGGAGATCACGCGAATCACTTACGCGTTTGATGACTATGCTATCTATATCGCAGCTCAACGCAAGTGGCTCTCGGTTTCTGCACAAACTGAATGTGTTCTGAACTGTTTAGTGATAAGGTCATTATCGATCCCCCCTTTGTCATTTTAAACACGCCAGTCTAAAGTGCACATTCAAATTGATATTTTCCTAGCAGCGGCAAAATTACCAAATCAGGATGCTGATCGTTTTTGCGCTTTTCTGCGGTATTAGTTCCTTCTGTGACAACAAAAAAATACGAGCGATAGCGCTTTTTTGACGCTGCGTTATTGTCTTTATCGGATCAGAGCTTCGGCTGCTCTTGGACTTGGAAGTGAAACGGTGTGTACTACCACTAGAGACTGAACGCAGACGCGAAAATCACTGATGCTGTGAGCACTCAAGAAGTCCTCTCCTTCTGTGCTCACCAAAGGTTTCCGGCTTTCTGACAAGCTTACCACTTTCTTGGTTAAGTCTCTGTCGGAGCATCGACATAGCCGGTGTTGACATCCCGAGAATGGCTCCAAACGTATAATGAGGCAACGGATAAGCCCAAGACTGAAAAAGGAAAATTAATGATGGATTCGGGACACTTTGCATTTGCTGCGATTCGGGAAAGTTACATATAAATATTCCACTACTCTTGCAAATCGACCATACTTCTGATTTTAACTAATGCGCTTACGTCAATCAAGATTCCTCCGAGAACGGCTCCTAGCATGCTTCCGGCTTGTCTCACAAATTCCATGCACGCCTAAGATGAGAGCAATATAGATTGCATCAGTTTTGATACGTCAGATGTGATTTTCTTGTTTTTGCGTATCATAGTGCACAACAGACAATCCCTTGTAAACTCACAGTTGAAGCTTGACAATAGTTTTTTTTTTGTAATAGAAACGTCCAAATTACTGCGGCAACAATAACGTCGCAACTGATTCGAATTTAAATTCAAATTCAAGTTCATATCTTTATTTTTACAGCTGTAGATTGCAAGAGTCTCCCAATCAAAAAAGCCTAAAATCAGTTTGACGAGATCTTTGTGCACGTTGCATGGGCACCAGCTCCGAAAGCAAAACAACAAAAACAAGCAACATTCAGTCCCTCATTATAGATGAACATAATCACACACTATCAAAAATATATATACAAATATATATCCAAAAGAATACTACAAAAAACATACACCCAAACAATCGATTGCCTAGATGAAATGTGAGCGTAAAAGTGCTCTTGGACTGAGAACTGCATTTATCTCATTAAACAAAAAGAAAAAAAAAGACATTTACTTAGAATTGTATGGAGAGATTTCGCAGCGGAAGCTTGTCGGTAGGTTGTTTTGTTAAAGAGCAGTAACACAGTTCCTATCCATTGTAACAGTGTCCCGCCCACGTGCACTGACGTGCTTTTGCGGGCGTGGGTAATTTATGTACTCGTTTATTATTCAATGAACTAATATATGTAGCTCTGTATGTATGAATATGTTTATAAATTCTATATACAAAGATGAATGGGATTAAGTAGACAATATTAAAAAACACATTTTCAGAGCTAATCATTCTGTATTTAGAGAAGAAATGTTCCGAATGATAGTCATGCGGAACATTTGGAATATAACGCGCGATATTTTTGAGATGCAGGGTGTTAAATAATGATTACGCAATTAATGCAAAGGTACAAGCCAGCTGGACGAAGGGTAACGATAATAATCCCCGGAGAAAGGTAACAATGGGGACAAAGGACAAATAGAATCTCCAAGCACAGTGAGGTCACTGGTGCGCGACTGAACAATAATAAGAGTGTTCCGATTTGTCCTTTGTTCCCCTTGTTCTCTTTTTCAAGGGACTATTATCATTATTCTTGTCCAGCTCGCTTTCACGTTTGCATTGATTGCATTATGATCATTACCATAAAATCAGGCCATTCGCCCTTGTTGGTGTTAGTCTGGTTGCCGCTGTTAGAACCCGTTGGCACTACTGACGTCTAGCTCCTGGCTAGCTAAGCTGGTAGAGCGCTGTACTGGATATGGAGAGCTCCCTGGTTCAACACCAGGACTAGGCGGATTTTTTCGGTGCCCCAATTGTTTTGGAGACTTGTGATTTTCCTGTGACCCCCTTCTTCGCTTCCTCCAAGGATTATCATAGTTATCGTTGCTATTTAAGTTCTTTTTCACAGTCTGGATCCAGGCCGGATGGCAATAGCTTAATTTGGAATACAACAGGGTGTTTATCTTATATTTAATAATAATAATCTTTATTTTGTTGTATCCTCAATCAGCGCATAGCCTAATTAGTGGCCCACAGTTCGTCATTGGAAATTAAATGCAAAGAGCCACATAGATTCAATATTATACACAAATGATCGACACCAGTGTACGTCGAAAGGTTGTCACGTCACTAAAAATGTCTATAGCAGATTGGTCAAGCCTGTTAAATTCCAGCTACATTCTTGTGAAGGGAGACGTATCATATAAAGTCTGAAGCTAGAACGGGCTCTGAAACCTACTTGACCGCAAGGGAACGTGGAAACAAACAGTACAACAACCTTATGGAAAAACAAAATCATGTAAACATCTTCTATTGAGCAAGGTGCGCAACCCTAGTTTCTTAAGTAGTAGTAACACTTGCACCCGAAATGCCTGTCAGATTATGCCTATAAAGCGTCTTTGAGCACACTCAATAGGGCATGACGCAGTGTGGTTGATACAATTCTAAACAATTGAAGCAAACTCCAGCTTTGTACGCACTAAACAGCAAAACAAACGTAATAGACTATCAGGAGAAGAAAATTGCCTCGTAAAACGAAATATCACCACAAGATTCCTGAGAGAGGCATTTTATATAGCTGGATTGTGATTATTAAAATGTATAGATGAATCAATAAAAATTTCAAGGTCACGAATAACGGACACTCGGGAGATGACACTGCGTTCTATCGTGTAAGGGAACACAGGCGAATCTCGCTTTCTAGACAGGGACATTGTTTTTGTCTTTTGCTCATTAAGCAAAATATGGTTCATACAACACAAATTTGAAATCGCCAAAGCGTTATCCTGAAGAAGTTTGCACTCTGAGTACGACCGATAGTAGTACTTCAAAGTTTTTCACGCTATTAGAAATGTAGTTCTCAAAAATCAAGAACAAAAATAGACCAAGACTGCTTCTTTCGGGCACCCCCGAAGGCGACGAAATTTTTACAGATATGAGCCCTGACACACAAACATAATTATCACAACATGAGAAATAACTTTCAAACCAATGGCAGTACGTTGGACACAAACCATAACTATCAATGACGAAAATAGTCCCTGAAGAAGGGAACAAGAGGGACAAAGGACAAACACAAATTTTCAAACACGGCTAGGTGACTGGTGCGCGACCAAAAAAATCCGCCTGGTCCGGGTATCGAACCCGGAACCTCACCATTACAAGTGGAGCGCTCTACCAACTGAGCTAACCAGGGGTTAGACGTCAGTAGAGCAAACGGGTTTTATCAGCTGCAACTTGCCTAGCAACTAGTCTAAGACCAACAAGGGTGAAGCTTGCAATTTATGGTTATAATTATAATGCAATTAAACGCAAAGGTACAAGCGAGCTGGACAAGAATGACGAAAAGAATCCCTGGAGAAGGGGAACAAGAGGGATAAAGTACAAACATAAATCTCCAAGCACAACTAGGTGACTGGTTCGCGACCGAAAAAATCCGCCTGGTCCGGGTATAGAACCCGGGACCACTCCATAAGGTCCCGGAGAGGTCCCGCGTTCCATACCCGGACAAGGCGGATTTTTTCGGTCGCTCACCA